CTGAAAACTGTAGCCAAACCACTTTTACATCACTGGGATAATATGACTGTAAAACAAAAATCTATCCATGTGACTTCACATCATCACCAGAGGAAACAACTTCTGCTCACCAGCTAGGTCAGACAGAGACTTGTAAACCTGCTTCGCTCACAATACAGTCTCCTGTCCATCAGTCCTCAATGCCTCAAACACACAGACAGAGATCAGCTATTTTGTGCTCAGGATTTTTCCGGAGAAATCATCTGTGATAGTGTTAGATGCAATACTCTGTACTTCCTACTGTGAACAATTTGGGGCTTTTTTTTTTTAATTTGAAAGCTTTACAGAAAAAGAAAACTGTAGTAGCACCACCAGGGGAGGTCCTGATAAGCTGCAGACCCACAGCTCCTCCACACAAATATCAAGGAAAGGCAAAGCTGCTGAGGAGCACTGTGAGGAGAGGATCCAATTGCCTGGCCAGAGCAGCTGGGACCCCTTCACTTCCCAGTCACCTCTGAACAACACATTCCTCTTCCTCCTCCAAGTGTCCGAGTTGCACAACTCAAACAAAGTTATTATCGTCTTGTGAAGAGTTTGTGCCTGACCATGGTAACAGACTGGTCCTTGTTTTAGTTGTGTGGAAAGTGCACATTTGGCCACGTAACAAACACCATGGGTCTGCCAGGTGAGCAGCATGCAGCCACTCCCCAGAATATGTCATATGCTTCTGATGAGGTCCTGTAATGGGACACGACAGCACCTTGCCGTCTGATCCAAACCACACACTCACTCTTCAGATGAGACTGGAGATCTGTCCATCCTCTTTTAAGTGGTATGTGCATTTTAGCCAAGAGAGGGAAATATTTCTGGTTATGTGAGGTCAAATGCACTGCAAGGTCATTCAGAAAGAGTGGCAGGGCCAGATGAATTTGTCAGGCATGAATTTTGTCTGCAGGTCACAGCATGAACTTTCAACTGAGAATACTGTATAATAATTTTCCTCAGGCAACTTATCTGAACAAAAACCCAGGACAATTATTAAGTTAAACTAATGATACGTCTATACAACAGCTGCTTTTTTAAACAGACTCTCAGTTGGTTTTGTGCAACATAATTCAACAGCAAAATCAGTCTGGACAAGGCACAGGATTTCAGCACAGGCCTGTTAGTCTTAATTATCAGAGCTTATATTTGCATGCTGAAGGTTACAGGGAGTAACACCTTACACTGGTCTGTGGACATACCCCAAAACAATTCCTACTTCTTAATTTTTCTAAAATTGAAGTTCTAGAGCAAAGAATTAATCCCTGCAAATTTGCTATTCTAAAATAATTTCAAAATCTGAATGCAACTAAAGCAAAATATTGTATATATATAGTTTATGTATGTATACAAAATACGTATATATAGTTTATGATCTAAAAATGAACGTGAAAAACTCACTTAAAAACACAGATATATTATAAAATAAATGTATTTTATTTAAAAAAAAGAGGAAAATTATGTGGTAAATTATTTGTTCTTCTAATGAATTTATTCAGGAGTGATATTTTTCCTTTTGGATTAATTAATGTACACAGAGAAAAGAGGCTAGACTATTTCACCCTGCAAGACAATAATTAGAACACAAGAACCACTTAAGGAAGGAGAGGCTCAAGCCTGATACCACTAAAATGGTCTTCAGCCTGGACATTTGATGGTAGCAGTTGTTCATCAACAAAAAGCACAAAACCACTTAGAGATCCATTTTGCTCTGCAATTTATTTCAGGAAATAGAACTCTAGTAGTTACACCTGCTGAGCTATAAGATGTTCTGCCAAGAAACAGAGTTTACATTTGAGGATGCTGCATTTCAGCCAAAAAAGAAGCACTGCGACCCAGAAATCCTGTGCCAAGTAGTCTGTCATGTTTCCCTGCCCTGAAAATTTTTATGATGATTTTTTTTACCTCCGTAAATATTGAAAATTGTGCTCTGTTGGTTTTGCCAAACTGACTAAAAGTGAAAAGACTAACACAAAAATAAAAAACAGATAACAGCTATAAAATGCCAGCATGGAAGAGATGCTATTTCAAACAACTCAATGAAAGAGACTACAGGATTTGCTCAGTTTTGAGGTAAACTCTGCAATTTCTAGTGCAGCAAAAATTCAAACCTTCACTTGATTAAGATCAGAAATTGTTGCTCACTACATATCAAAACAGTTCCAGTTACTGACAGGGGTATTAGGCCACCTTTCACAGTGGTGTCTATTGAGGATCGGATTAAGCCTATTCCTACTCCTCCTCCATCAACCAAAGAATCATTCTCTTGCAACGTTACAGACATCAGTCCAAAATAAAAAAAAAAAAAAAATCTCTGGACTTGACTGAAGAACAAGGAGGGTTAACACAAGTGCTTTTTTCATAACTTCTGGAAGAAAAAAATGTATGAAATTTCAAGCACCCCAGCACACTGAGATTATGAGCTGAAGCAAGAGGAATCATCTTTACATGCTTTAAATTAACCTCCTCAGAAGTGCCTTCACAAGAACAGTGCCATTAAAATTCAAATTAACCATAATTTCTGGGTGAACAGAAAGTCTGAACTTAATATTGGTAATTTACAACAAATATCTTGTAAATCTTCCACACTACTCTACAACTTCAGGGTAGCATTAAAAGCATATTTCTAAGCAGTTTGAAGTCTAATCCACACGGAGATTGCTTATCTACAAAGCCACCTGCATACTGTAATTTAAAGTATTATGCTGAGAAAAGAGTATGTAGACTATTTTAAGTGGTTTTTCTTTTCTACGGTTTACAAAAAAACTTTTTTTGAAGTATCCATCACAGAACTTCCCCACCTTCAACTAGTGAATCACCCTCTGCTAACCTTGGAGGAAAAAAAAAAAAAATCCCTTCACCAGATATTTGCCTGTTTAACAGTAACTCAACTCCTCCCTTCCATATAGCCCTTTCCATTTTCCTCATTGTTTCTCACTCCTGTTTTCCATTTTGTCTCATTCTGCTCATCCTTACAGAGTGCCTCATTCTCCCTCCCAGCTGCCAGCTGCTGAATCATTAATACAGTCAGAAAACAGTAGCAGGAATACTAGCTACTTTAGGAAACTGCATAAGAAGCAGTTAAACCTCACAGCATCACACAGGCTGGGTCAGGTCTACACAGTATAACTGATATACTGGGTGAGCCGGGTGACAGGAGATTCCCCACATGGCATTACACCACATGTTCAAGGACATTTAATGTCAAGTGTCTTAGCACAGCACTGTTCAGCAACTGAGTTGCTGCAATTTATTGTGTATGGACTCAAACCACCCAGGGGCAAGATAAAACAGTGGTTTAACACATTTTACCTTACTATTGGGAATGGTTAAGAACACACTCACAGCCAGCTCTTATCACCTGCAAGTGACCATTAAGGCATTACAATTGTCCTCTTTTAGATTTAAGGCCCCTGTTCAAAATTTTAATTGAAAAATTGTTAAAAGCCATTATAGAAATGCTCATGTTCCATGAAGAATTCCCTTAAAGAAACATGTGATCGCCCCTCTCATCTGTGTAAATTGCCAGCCTGCGTGTTGACATGATAAATCTTAGGCTATTATTTATAGAACCTCGTATTGGGATCTCTGTGTGTGCTGTGCATGTGTGCCACCACAAAGCATCCTCTGACGTGCATCTGAAGATGTCAAGGGCAGCTTGTAAATCATGGCACATCCTGTTACATCCCTGCATGGACACTGACAGCATCCAGACTGTAATGAAAGACTGTCCCTTATAGGGTAAATTTTATTACAAGTCTAACAAGTTTAGTACAAGTTCTGGTCTTGCTGTGGTCACTGGGCATTTTACAGCAGACTTGAAGGCAGAGAAAAAGAATGCAGAGGACACAGATATTGACTTAAAAAAAACCTTTAGATTGAATACAGCCCAAAATGTAGCAAAAACCCCCTCAGCATTGGGCATCAATGGTAAGGGAACCAAGAACAAGGCAGACAGTCCTTTGCCAGCATATAGAGCTGTGGCACACCAGCATCCTGAGCACCATACACAGTTACTCTCCACATCTGAAGGTCACAAAGAGTAAGAGAAGAGAGACTCTTACAGAGACTTGGCTGCTCCTAAGAAAGCAGCTGCCTTATAAGGAAACACTAGAAAGGCTGGGACTCTTCAATTTAAAGAGAATAGGGGTGAGGGAAATACGACTGATGACTACAAAACTGAGAAGGTAGCAGATATAGCGAATGCAGAACAGGTTTCTCCACAAATCCCACAATACTAGGCACAGGGAAGAGTTGGTGAAATTAACAGATCAGTTTAAAACTGATGAAGGACAGCACTGCTTTGCACTGAGCACAGTGAACATCTGGAATTTGCTGGCACAAAATTGTGGTGACAGACACAAGGAAGACACGTTCAGGAAGGGACTTGGCAAATTCAGAGACAACAAGTCCACAGACACCAAATGAAATAATCACACTCTCCAACATCCCTAATGTAACAGTTGTGGGTACTGGAGGGATATTAGGGACTCAGTCATCTGGCTTGCACTAAATTCCTAAGTTGCATTTCCTTATGGATGCAGACACATTACTGGGTTAGATGGTTCACTTGTATGCTCAGGTTGGACATTTAAGCTCTTAGGCACACTTAGGCAACAACAAAAACCTTACTAGGAATTTTGATCAAATTCAGCCTGGCTTGTGCAGGTCAATAGGAGCTGCAGTTTTTTAAGTCAAGGCTGCCATTCGTCCTTGTAGAGATAATTCAGTGGATCATTTCAGACTGATACATGTAAGAGGCAAACGGTCACAGGTATTAGACACACATTTACTTCAGAATTTCTACTACAGTTTCAGTCTATCTCAGTACAGCTAACAAGCGGAACCTGAAGCATGGCTTGCAAAGCTTATCTTGATAAACAACGGCAATGTAGGACCAAACAATGCTGGTCTCCCTAGATTATATGAATTTTCAGCTTGAAATTTTGAATTTTTACAGTGTTGCTTTTCTGGCTTACCTTTACTGCACTGAAGCAGAAAGCATATAGGACAATCAGAACGACAAAGCTTCGGGAAATGCTGTATAGCGCAGATACAAACCCAGCGGCAGCTGAAATACAGAAATCACGTGTTAGTTAATTTCTTCTTAAATGAGAATGTGCAATCAAAAGAAAAAATGAAACAGTTCTTGCATTGCGAGAGATATAGAGATTTAAATCAGATATCATAAAGCTAGATATTAACACCTTCATTGCCCCAAATAAGCTCACAAAACTGTTTACAGCTAATACTGAAATGTCGACGTCACAACACTTCCTGTTTTTTCCATTTTCCTGAGGTCTCATACTACTCCTTTTTGTTACTGAACATTGTTTTCAAATATCAGTATGCCTCTTCATGTTGCTACCAAGGAGGAATGCAATGATCTACAGAACTGGCAGTTTTCTAGTCAAACTCCATGTGAAGTTTTTCTCCTCTTTACTCCTGAGGCATGGGCTCTGGTATCATTTAAAAGCATCCTAATTTGCTCAGCCAACCATGCTTTGCACCATATCAAGACAAATAAACGAACTTAGAGAGAGAGGGACGCCAGAAGATCTCTTGCTATCACCTCCTTCGAGAGCTTCCAAAAGCCAGGTAGGGAAAGCTGTCAGACAGAATGGGGAGTACTGAAGTCTCAACAAGGGAGACAGAGGGGGCTGCAAAACCGTGCTCTGATAAGGGTTCAACATGCACTGATCATCATTATGATGATGAACACTTTATCTGACCCATTATTTCCTGCAGGTCCACTATGGAATTTATAAGACAAAAAGCAAAACACCCCTATCACTTGCCAAAGCCTATGTCTACAGTAGCAAGTAGAATGATTGCAGTAAGGGTAGGTCTGCAGAATGAGAGGTGCTAAGCGTGTCATATCCGTGATACAAATGTTTGAGGTGCCTTCCTGAAGACTGTCCCTAGTCTCTTCCCACAGACTGAATGCTCATTAGTGTTCAGAGTAAAAAGGATTGCACCCTAGAGTTTCATCCAAATGGAATCCAGTTTGCACTCTGCCATCATTCCATGATGAAAAACGTGTGGTAAATGGGAAGGAGGGACTTTGTTTCTAACCCAAAATAAGATAACAGTGTACATAGATCTCAATCACCTCTGTTACTTAAGCCATAGCAAAAAAACCACACCCCAACACACTACCAACAAAAAAATCCCAATGTATCATCTCTCAAGGGCCTTCTTTAATCTCTGACTGAAATAACACCAAAAAAATCATCAAATATCTTGTCAATATACCTTACTATTGAAGAATGCAAACTTTTTTTAATTTTCTAAATGTTTTCTAAATTTTCTAAAGTTATAACAGAAAAAAAAAATTTAAAGGTTTTCATTTTTAACAAATATAGTAAAGAGTCACATTAGGTATGCCAGGAAAGAGGTCTTTGATATCAACCATATTCTGCAGCCTATAGCACAATCTGTATACAACTTTTCAAAAAAAAAAAAAAAAAAAAAGAAAAAGAAATCTAATCAAGTGGGTCTTATTAGTATTCACCCCACTATCAGATGAATACTATTAGCTGTTTGAGCTTTAACATGCACTGTACTTTGAAAATGCAACAATATATTCTAATCTAAGGTTATAAGACCAGAAAGGAATCACTCAGGCTGTAGATTGCTACTTACCAGAACCACCAAAAAGCAACATATCTATTTGTTCCAAAAGATATATGCAGAAAGTGTTGATTTGAGGGAAAAGTCCAAGGAGAGAAATTGCAGGAAAGCAATATAAGAACACTAAAGGAAAAAAAAAAAAAAGTGTTTTAGAACACAGTCGTACATTTCAGTGTATGGAAAATAGAGAAACGTGCATCTTACCAGAATAAAAAATTGTTGCAATAAATTCTGAAAACTTTTCAATTGAGCATACCTTTACCTTAGCAGCAATGATTACACTTTCCTTCTCATGTATTCAAAACAATGTTATTTTACGCATAAGAAACTAAAGCTCAGGGGTTAACTATAAGACTTAGTTTGGATAAAAGCAGTAGCAGAGAAAATAGCATTATGTAGCCTCTTTAATGCTTCTCAATTAATTTCAAAGTTATATTTGTTCCTTTTAAAGTACAGAAATTGTAATTTTCAGGCTTTGGAACTTCTTCCTTGAATCTGAGATTGCTCACACACACCTGTAACAATTCAATATAAACAAACAAAAAATACTTTAATGGCTAAGATTCTAAATATCTTGGCTTCCACAATATCGTGCATCTGCCAGAAATCGACAGCAGACACTAATAGCAACCCACAAAAATGGGTCAAATCTATAGTGAAAGTTTCCCAGAACATTGCCCCAGCTTCCAGCTGTATGGTCTTCAACTCTGCCACAGGGAAAGAACATTAAAAACAGGAAAGGGGTAAATCTAGTCTGAAAAAATTACATACTCTCTTTATAAACAGAAATGCTGATTTAAATGGTTGCTTTACAGTCAAGGAAAAGCAGGAGTTATAGATCAGTCTTTTGTTCTGTACATTGTCAGCTATTCCTCCTTCCCATCCATTTACTCTTAGCTCCACCATAGAAAATGCTAAGCAAGGCTGTCTAACAAAGCATTTAAAAACACACTTGACCCAAGTCTCCAATACTGTACACTTTCAAGGATGCTTGCACATGTTTAATCATACCCTTACTGCTTCATTACATTAGTACCAGAATGTTCTGCATGGTGATGGACAGAGATGTGTGTCAGTCACTGTTCCTTGTAAACAAGTATGTATTTGTTACTTTTTATATGCTAGGAAGACTGGAGTTTCCTCCTCTTCATTCTTATAAAAAGCAAATTAAACAAATGACAAGTACCACTTATTCCCCTTCCCCCCATTCAGATTTTTAAAGGTAACAATAGGATTTATGTTCTTTGCTGAATGCTAATTTCACATTTCCCAGCTCATCTTACTAATGAATCCTGTGCTAAAGGGAAACAATACACCAAGTTTGATCTGACAGCTTTTATCCTCATCTTCTTATACACTACTGTGGTCTAACACTGTAAATCTTGCTGAGAAAGTGAAACACAGGAGAAAAAACAACTCGCTCAAGTGTTTAACACAGACAGCACTCACCTAAGTATACTCAGATTCACAATGCACCCTTCAACACTACTTCCTGCTGCTGGTACAAATTACACATATATAAGAAAATGAGGAAATACGGTCATCTCAATCTTTTACATGCAAATGCCAATATTAATTTCCTCTTCCTTTATCGCTCTGTGCTTTTTTAAATATTCCCTACCAAGCCAAGCAAGGACCACTCTTGAAGATGGACAATGGCATGACAGAAAACTGCTTAGCAGGCCATACAGAACTTGCCAGGGGATCAATTATCCCAAAACCTCACTGCTGAAACTCTAGGAGATCTTGTTCCTCAGACAACAGCCTAGCAAAACTGCCAGAACTCATCTTAGACTACTGACTTAGAGTCCAATTGACTGCCTTTGCTGTAGCAACCTCAGAAAAAGTGGAATAAGAGCAGTGGAAGGAAGGATGAGATTAGACATTTGACAGTACACCAAAATACAAAGAGACAAATGTAAACAAGGTGGGAAAAGTCAGTTGACTACAAAATTATCCTCAGCTCACCCTCTCTATATTAAGACCTTGAACAATCCTAACAATTTCTTTAGCTAAAGCAGCTTTGTTTACCTCATCCTGCACAAAGGAGTGCAGAGAGTAAAATAAACAGTTTGCCACCTACAAAAAGATTGAATTTAGGAGCAGTAGTGTCCTTTGTGGGAAGTAGACAATAAAAGTAACTGAGTAATCCTTTGGAACTGCATTATGAATTCCATAGAGAATCTGTTTAAGCATCACACATTTCCATACCTTTAAGACCTGGACCACAAAGAGATGCTTATGTGAGTTGCTGGCATTTAACACCCCAGTTCAAAGGTTCCTCTAAACAAATATCTATCACAGCAATGTAAGAGGGAAACACAAAATTTGACTTTGGAAAATTTGGGTCTTTTGAGAAATGTAGAATGGCAACGTAACTGCAAACATTTTAGAAGTTTAGAAAATTATCAATTAAAAAAATTACATATTTGAGTACTAGTCCATTTGCTGTGTAATAATACGTATTTTTTCACAAATAATTTTGCCTGTTGAATGTTTAAATGGTTTCATCACAAGAACTGTAATACATTAAGTGCATAGCCACTTCTATCGCTAATCACACCTGTAGCACCCAGTGATTGAGGCTGGCTCTGTCTGTACTTTTATTTGCACTTCATATGTTAATGTAGCAAAAATAATGTCAGTTGAAATAAGAAAATCAAGATGAAAACCATAGGTAGAATTAAAGTCATGATTTCCCAACTAATGTAAGAATAAATCAATAGCAGAGTCACCACCAATTTAAAATAAAACAGAATCAGATCATAAGTAGGTCACTTGCAAAGAAATGGACCTGTTGAAAACCCCATTTGTAAGTAATTAGGTTACACATCTAACAAATTTCCAATTATTTCCCTTTATAATCTTGTTGCAAGACTTTTATCAGAGTATGCTATGCAGCATCACATTAGTTCCTTCGTAAGTCCTTTCTATGTTTTCCATCCCTCTTGCTTCTTACTGTAGTAAACACCTGAAATATGAGACTTTACCTTTCCTTGGTATTTGTAATGTACAGTCAAAAATCCCTTGATTTTCAAGCATATAAACTCTGACTATCACAATAAATTTTGATAAAAATATAAACTAAAAAATCACCATATGATGATAAACCAACAGAAAGAGATCAAAAATACCCAGCAAACAGGCAAAAATGCAAAACAACAGTAACACTTCATTGGTATGCAGTGGGACCAACTTCCCTCCTGATTTTATTACCCAAACCATACACTTCTATACCTTCATTACCTAAGAGATTCTATACTCAAACTGCAGCAAGATGCTGGAGGATGCCAGACTGTCATGGCTTACAGAAGTAGATGCACTGTGAACACTTGCAAGGATTCACGGTTCCCATAGTGACAAAGCAAGGAATAGCCAAAGCGTGGCACCAGACATCACTTGAACAAACATACCCTGGCAAAACAAGAACTGGGGACAAGCAAAGGGAAATGGTTTCTTCTCCCTCTTTTGTTAAACAGATGCTAGCTGGGGAGATGAGCCTGTATTTCCTCTCTCCCCCACCCCCTCCAGGCTGCTTCAAGAACATGCTCTGCCATCTCTTTTGAGGCCAGCCAAAATTAACACATTTATAGCCACATTTCATTTTGTTATACTGGTTGCTATAGTTTTTCATTTATCTCTATCCCAAGTGTCATCTCAGATTCTTGTTGAATTATTTATCAGCATTTTTACTGCTAACCTTTGACAGACAGAGAAAAGAAGATTTAAGGAGAAACTTTAATGAGACCAAAGGAACATAATGAAAGAAGCTAATTAAAACAAGTGAGATGCAGGTCTTCATATTCCCTGGTTTCTGGTCTGAAGAATTGGGAGTCAATGTACTCATATAAAGGACAAGGAGGTTTTCCTAAAAATGGTATGCGTTTCAGGGAATAATACTCTGACTTGAGTACAGCAAAACACAAGCACAACAGTCAGAGCTGAACAAAGACCTTAAAGGTCATACACTCTATATCACAAAAAGTTTTTTCTTCTACTAAAGTAGGTTTCCCTGGTTCTAAATTCACAAAACAACAGGCAATCTTTGGTACACTAAAACACAGCTTTTGGGCAATTTTCATCACTTCAACAGTAAACTTTATATCTCCTACCTCATACTTTACCAGTGTTGCACTACTGACACGAGCCCAGTTCAGCACCTGCATCTGTGACACAACTGGTGTTAACATCGCAGGTATAGTCTGCACGTGTGGTGTTTAACAGGAAGAAGTGTCCTGATGGAACAGGGCACCGGTCACTCCAAATGAGTGCTAAGGGATCATCAGACCTAGTTTGGGGTAATATCTGAATACCCTCAGCGACCTCAGAAGATGATTCCAAAAGGGAACAGGTTGAAAGAGCTATTGCAGAGTGGCTGCTTCACACTATCTGGTCACACGGACAGTATGATTAAACTAAACCAAGAAAAATCATGTTCTTCATGTGCAGAAGAATGTCCACGTGAGGACTTGGCATGGATTAGCTTCCAGGCACTAAATTTAAAACTCAACTTATTCTGCAATAACTGCTCCGTACAGACAATCCCTTACAAAGAGTAACTCCATTTCACAGATGATGTCTTTTGCTAATAAGATCAGTGACTGTTAGTTTTCTATGGAGACATTTCTATGATCCTCGTTTCATTAAGAATTCCTTTTACATGAGGGAAGGTTGCCAGTTGCCCCCATCCCCGTCTTAAGTCATTGCAAATGCTTCTATCAACTTGACTTAGAGTTGTGCCTCCATAAACATGCATTTGATTGCCAACACAGGAAAACACAGACTTCCCTGGCTAATGCTTAATTCATTTTTACAGTCCTAGGAAAAATACCGACTCACCTATTACGTGGTCTCTGGCTGACTGGAGAGATCTGGGCGAAAAGAGCTTCAAGCCATACATTGTATAAACAGAAGGATTTGTGTCTTTAGATCCAGCATCTAGCAGCAAAATAAGGCCACACAGTATACAAAAATATACAGGTCTGCTGTAGATTATGATTTTATTGTGTCCCTGGAAGAAAAAAGAAAGCGTTTGAATTTTGTATTCATTCTCCTACTGTCTGCACTGCATTAAACTAGAGAGAGGGTCAGGGGTCAGACAAGATATTTTAATGACTTATACATTATAATTAATAATAAAAATGCTACAAGGTACTTTTTCTTCTCCAGAGAAGACTTTCAAAAGTCACAACGAGCAGTTAAGACTGACTTCAGTAATCATTTACGCTTTTGAAAACCTCATCTTCCGGACCTTTCAAAACATAGTAATTGCAAGAGCCAACATTTTCTGTGGAGAAAAAAACCTCAATCTGTCTGAAACTTTCCTTTCATTAAAATTAAAATAGAAATAATGTAGATAAATTTTTTCTATTGAATGTCTGCTTAAAGTAGCTTGACTTTTTTTTTTACTTTATGAAACATAAAATTAATTTTTAATTGAATATTGGGAAGCAAAAAAAAAAAGTTGAGCACCTCCTAGGTGCAGAGTGAGTCATGGGGATTGATTTTTTTGCACCAATACAATTTCATTTTTTGTTACTTTGAATTACTTAAGAGCAAATCAGCATCCCTTCTGGAGGGAGTGACACTCATCAGCAGTTTCTGGTCTGCCTCTCATGAAGCACTTTGAAATGATGATCCAAAGGAATTAGGATGTGAAAGGATTCTCATCTGATGTCTTTCATACACATCTCTCACACAATTGATTCTCACTAATCCTACAAAACGCTGCTGTGGGGTTATAGGCCATAGAAACTAACAGACACTTAAGAAAAACCTAAATAGTTCTCCTGCTAGCAAGCTTAAGGGTAACTAAGGCATTTTAAATGCTGGTGAGTCAAAAGATTCCTTGAGTGCGAAGAGCCAGGAGCAAGTGACCAGCACCCAAGTTTGCCTTGCATAAAGCTGCTGTGCAACTGTTCTTATTTGTAAAATGCAATTCAAGTGAGTATAATAAAAGATCATATCTTTTTTGTGTCTACTTACTGACTTGAAACAGCAGCTGTATTTGTTTGGCTGTCAGCCAAGCTCGTATGTTAGCACTGCTATTAACTGATCTGTACTGTCTTTTGGGATCAATCAGTTAACAAGGTGGCAGATTACAAGGAACTTGAGGGCTTATAACACACCTCACGTCCTGGAATATGAATCAAGTCAGAGACACAAATGCTTGTTGTTTCATCAGTTTCAATCATATGAATGCCTTTTTTTTTTTTTTCCCACGAAATAATCCATGGAGAATTATAAAAATAAAAATCTGACCTTAAAATAGAAAAATCACTTAAAATATTACTTTCTGGCATTTTTTAAACTTCATTTATCTTAAATATGATCTGTGACTTAGGAAAAGAAACCAGTAAATATACACCAAAACAATTACTTAATGTTTTATATCCTGATGTGCACTCCAGACCAAAGTCAATCTTATTGTCTATACAATAAAAGTCTCTTACATTCTTATCCTACCTCTTGAACTATGGAACCTGGTTTTATCTTTGCGTGGTAGTTATTTGAAGGCAGTTGGATAAAACAGAGTTGATGACTAGAAGTCCAGAGGTTTAACTCCACACACCTTGCAGTTCCACACAGAACACTGACACACTCCATTAGATTTACAGTGTATATTTGACTCTTACTTCTAAAGTGGTTTATAGTGCACTGGGTGAAGAACTGGCTGAAGGGCAGGCAGAACTCAAAGAGCAGTAGTGAAAGGGGTTACATCTGGCTGGTGGCCTGTCACCAGTGGAGTTCCTTAGGGCTCAGTTCTAGGGCCAGTTTTGTTCCATATATGCATCAGCAATCTGGATGCAGGAGCTGAAAGCATCACTAGCAAGCCTGCTGAAGACACCAAACTGGGGGGTGCTTTTCACTCTGTTGAGGGTCAGGAAGCTTTGCAGAGAGAACTAGAAATTTTGAAGTATTTGGGCAGTGATTAATGTGATAAACTGCTGGATTCTGCACCTAGGATGGAGTAATGCTGGGCACAAGTATAAATTGCAAGAGGAGTGGCTGGTGAGCAGCTCTGCAGGAAGGGATCTGAGGGTGTTAGTCAGCAGCAAGTACAATGTGAGTCAGCTGTGAGCCTGGGCAGCCAAGAGGGTAAACCACTGGATTCATCAAACACAGCATAACCAGCTGGTCAAAGAGGAGATTATTCCTCTGTACTCAGCATTGGTGTGGCCCCACCTTGAGTGCTGTGTGCAGTTCTTGGCCTCACAATTTAGGAAGGATGTGAAGGTCCATGAAGGCACCCAGAGGATGGCAACAAAGCTGGTGAAAGGGTTGGAAGTAATGTCCTATGAGGAGCAGTTAGGGACTTAGGGCTTGTCTAGTTTGGAGAGGACAAGGGTGAGGGGCAACCTCATGGCTCTCTACAGTTTCCTGAGGAGTGAAATGGAGAGGGAGGTGCTGATCTCCTTTCCCTGGTATCCAGTGACAGGACATGTGGGAATGGCTCTGCTGCCTCCATCAAGGGCATTTCTTTACGGAGAGGGTGGTCAAACACAGGAACAGGCCTCCTATAGAGGTGATCAATGCCCCAAGCCTGTCAGTGTTTAAAAGAGGGATTTGGACAATGCCCTTAACAACATGCTTTAACTTTTGGTCAGCCATGAAGCAGTCAGGCAGTTGGACTAGATGATCATTGCAGGTCCCTTCCATGTTAGTTAGAATAGAATAGACTAATTCAATCACTCTTACCACGCTAACTATAATAACAAGCTGCAATATGTGAGCAAATACTACTTCCCTATTTTTCAGGTGGTAGTGGGGAATGAGACAAAATCCTGAAATCTTCCCTATGATCAGATCAACAGGAGCAAAGCAATGCAGCAGCAATGCACTCAGGACAGCGGCTGCACAGCTGTTGCACTGCTTGGGATGCACTGGAGCTGAATGAGTTTCATAGAGCACAACAAATACTCTAGTCCCCACATCTGACATCTCTGTCATTTACATCCTTCATTTGAGGGACATTACATTTCACCTTTTAAGGTTTTAGAAACAAACAAAACAGAGAAATAGGAGCAAAGCCCTCTTGTGCCTGCCACTGACAGGCCAAGCTACATAGCTCTTCAACAAAATGGCATGTGGTATCACAGCGTGTTTCAACAAGATATTTTAGATATGAAGGGCTTATTTCGTTTTCCTAGACAAGCTTACTAAATTTTGACAAGTAAGACTGATGTCATCTTGGTGAAATTACTCCACTCTGCATTCTCCTTCAGAAGAATTTAAATAATGATGCACAATTCCTTTTATATTTTACATCTCATTTGTTGAACAACGTTTTTTCCTTCGCTGATAAAAATTTCAGTGAAAAATCTTCCTTTCCCCAAGTCTGATAAAAAATGGCACTGGCTTTTTCAAGTCCATATTTCTCATTAATATGTTTCAGAAACATATTCAGATCCTACCATCGCACCAACACAGCACTGGTGCACCTTGTGCTTTGATAAAAATATTAAGACTTTGCTCAGCAAAGACAGAATAATTTCAAACACTTCCATTCAGTAAAGCAGCAGTTTTGACTGGCAAAGCATTTTAATGGGAAAATTTTAGAAAGATCTAATGATTTTTCTTTTTTTTTTCTTTTTTTTTTTTTTGTTGCAAGAGGAAAAAGACAGAAGGCTTTTTATTTAAAGAAATGTGCATGTGCTGAATTCTACAGAAAAGCTTACAAGGAGAAATTAAAAATACTTTTAAAGCGCCTTATGGGATTTATGAAACTGCCTACGGTAGCTACACAACTGAGTTAGCTATCTGCTTTGGCAGGTAATGGGACCAAGACAATGAAGTTATGCAAGAGATTCTCTAAATCTTGTTAAGAGCATGACTGCAGTTTTTCAAGCTCAAATGCCTTTGCAAGCCTGAGTTAGATCCTGAGCTATACAGGTCTCTTGTGAGGGACTTACAGGCAATCTCTCCTGATCCTTCTATATAGCCATTTACTAAACGTAAAACCTTGTCAAAGGTTTGCCTAAAACCTTGAACTGCACATGACAAGGATCTCTTGGATCTCTGAATTTAACACCCTGCAGTCACTGGTAACTCTCTTCTATCACGTCATCAACAACAAACTATACCACACTTAGGATGGACTCGATTTTCTTCTCTCCACCATTCCAGTGAGGAGGCTGTTCCCAAATTTCACCATCCCAGAACCATGCACCCTTGTGTAAACAGCAACTAAAGGCCACCACCTCCCAACGGATCAGCACTGGAAAGGCTAAAGCACCAGCTGACAGGAAAATTAGACTCATCTTCTAACAGCCAACGGTTCAAAAGCAGCAAGTGAATACATTGGCACTCTGAAGGAGTTTAGAACAAAAGCTTATGCATCTCTAGGTACTGTGTTTTCTGAACTCACTGGATGCTATTTGAAAGTAGAGTCTTTCAAAATGGTACAGGCTAGAGATGACAAACTCACATCAAACAGTAACAAACACTGCATGTGAGAGATAGGCAAGAAGCTTGGAACCTCCTCAGCAGACATGGATAACATAAGGCATTAGCGGCTACTCATGGATCCACGGATAGAACTTAATTCAGTGTGCAAATCTGAGGTTCATGATGGTTTGTTTCACACTGAAAAATCTCATCTGCATTTTCATTCATGGGCATGGTACAGTTCATTCTTTAATCCCTCTGCAGTTCTGCATCCTCACATTAACATCAAGAGATGTTACACTCTAATTTTAATGTAGTCACATGAATTATGAAAAAGTACATGGAGTATCTTTTCTCGCCTTCTTGTTGTTCTATTTTTGAGGTGCTTAGCAGCTCAAGCAAGCCTTTAGAAATATCTGTTGTGTTAAAGAGATACAATGTAAAAATAGCTAATCTTCCATCTTACCATAACCCCTCCCACCTTTAAAACTCTTAGTGGAAAAACTTTCTAAATTTCATTTCCACTGGAGTTTGTATGGTGCACCAAAACGTTTGCAAGAAAGTATCCCTGATAAAGTTTTAGGAAAGTGTACAGAAAATGTGAATAAACCTATTGTTACTTCGCTACACTGCTGCATGACTTAACAATATGGTGAATAACACTTGTAATACTGTAGTGAGAGTCTGAAATTCAAACCTGGATCCTGCACAAAAACTGTTCTGTTTAAACACTAGTTTGTGTTCAGTATAAAATATGAAAAAGACATAAACTACCTAAACTACCCATATAAAAAAATATGGGCCAGGTAGGTTTATAATGAAGTTTTGATTAAACTGTTTGCCACCCACTTTAAACAAATGTACATGTTACTAATGTCTGATTAAGTGCAAACAATTTGAGTTCACATAAATATCTCTAGACACATGACAGCTGGACTGACAAATAATACTGTTTTAGTCACCAAAACCCCCAACTTTTCACTGAGGTTGGAATATTTGTATAATATATTGAAAATATTACCCTACGATGTGCAAGTTGCTGTTTATTAGCTTTTCCTACTTTTTATGTAGACAGGTATTTCCTGTGAATGTATTATAATCAAAACCATCATAAGTTCACCCCATAATAATTGGAATGGAAAAGAAACTGGGAATCTTCTGAAATCCGTCTCAGTGAAGTGTGTAGCATATATTTGTAAATAACCCCCATTTCAAATTCAGCCTGCATTTCTAGCCTTTAAACTGACAAAAATAATTGCTCCCTGCCAAAGGGAAATGATCCAGAAGACCTGAACTTTTCAATGCGCCAGTTTTGAACCCTGAGGGAAGAGAGGGTGTCCTCAAAAACATTCAAGGCGCTAAACAAGAAATGTGAGCAACTAAGCATTCAGTATAAAAGCCAGAAAGGGACTTTATGACCACTGAAATGTCTTCAAAGATCTGCAAACCAAAAATGCTGAAACACTTTGACTGGTGAAGTGGTAAGATTGCAGTTGTAGGATGATGCCTCTAAACCAGTCCTGTGACGAGGACAGGCTTGCTCTTCACAAAAGTGTTTGGCACTGCCAGAGTTCAGTTTTCTTGGTATACTCAACAGACAAATAGCAACCAGCAAGGATCCTTACAGCCTGCATTCACCCAAAGACTTGGACATTTCTTCAGGACACAAGCACAAAAACTGTGACCATAACATAAAAAAGGGAAAACACCTGTGTTATTTGATGAGGTAATAATACAATTGATAGATACATCTGCAATACCAGATTAAAAAATTGAAAAAAATCAATCCCCCAACTTAAAAAAAAAAAAAAAATCCAACTGAGCTGCTAATCTGGAGCTTTTGCTCTTCTACTCTTTTCAGTAACTGCAAAAGGAAAGCAAACAAAATGCTTGTCTGATGCCACAGGACTGAACATCACCAAACCACTTCAGATGAATTTGTTTCACTGCATATTTCAGCTTAAAGAAAAAGCACTTTTCTAATACAAGTGATAAACTCAAATACCTTAAAAATAATTAAATCTAGGACAGAATAGAACACGTAGAACAGCAAACTACTAATACCTGTATTTCACTGAAAAAACAACTGTTTCACATAACACAAGTGATAATAAAGACTTGTTTTACTGGTTGAGACTTACATGTATTGGTGAAGCTGGATCAGGCTGAACACTCTAAAAACAAAACAGAAAAAAGTTTGCTTACAGGATTTTGCCTTCGAAGAATTTAAAAGAGAATTCAGCAATTGGCTATGAACCTGTGTCCTACCTTTAGGAGAGAATACTGGCAACTGGCCATCACAAGACAGAATAACAGAACCCAAATGTCTTTACAGAAGCCTTGATTCAGAGTCAGGAATCCAAGAAGCGAAACAAGAACTACTAGAAGTACAGCAAATACATTCTCCTTTATATCTTCTGTCCTATGTGAATAAAAGTGTGGGAGAAGTACAAATATTTATAGATTCATTAGAGCAAGGTAGGTGCATTTGTAGTTGATATGAACTGTCAGTGCTGCAGCTATCAGAATTTACAGGATCTGAGGTTTCGCTCCCATAACTACATTTCCACGTACAATGGCATTTCACCCCCATGCCAAAAGCCTTATCCAAAATGATAGCTAAAATGTATAGGAAAAAAGGCATATGCACTGAAGTCCAATGTCCCCTCCAAACTCACTTCCCAATTAGAACTCCACAGTGGAGCTGAATTTGAACATAGGAGAGTATGTTTATAAAATGCAAGCAAAAAAAAAATCATCAAAAACCCCAAAGAAAACAACAAACCACCACAAAACCCCACACAAACAACCACAAATAAAACCACCCAAAACACTTTTATATGAGGAAATAAGACATTCCATTAATGAAAAACGTATGTCTGACAACAAAGAATTGGATGAAAGAGCAAATTTGTCATCTGATGTTTTATTTGTTTTATCTGTTCTAATAGAACATGGAAGCTGAGATAAAAAGCAATGTTAATATTCAGGCTATAACAAAAGAGCTTATCATCAGATGTTTTCCATGCAATTGAAACACAGAGATAAGACACCACACATTAGCAAGCATCTGCTCTGGGCTTTAAGCTCCCTGACATGTAGCCTGATTTCTGTAGCAGGTAAAACTCTCATCTGAAATTTGGCACAGCGTCCCCCTCAAAAGCAGAGACAGGAAAGTCAGCAGCCATTACATATGTAGGCTAACATGCCTGAAAGTCCTAATAGTCCAGTAGATTACCATGGAAAATCTAATAGCAAATAGTACTGCCTGAAGAGTGATGCCAAGACAACAAATTTTCTCTAAACTAATAAAGCTGAACTGGAACAGAGGCAGCAGATCTCCTGAAACATCTCCTCCTGAACACCACTCTATAAATTATTTTCTGCTTTTTAAAGATTGGTGTACTTGGTTTACAAGAGCCTGATTCCCTTCCACTTCTGATTTTCTCATCAGAAAGCTCAGAACCACTGAATCTAACTGCTGTGAGTTAAAGTACAGACTATTCTACAAGGTTTGTCCTCACATGAATCAAAATCTCTGCTTAAGATAAAGGGTAGGAAGAATCACCGAAACCAACTCTGAGGAGAAGTATTTTCTTCACCTGAAAGAAAAACGCACCTATCTACTCAGCCTGAAAATGAGACACTAACACAAGGCTCATTTTTAACTTTTCTAGTGGTCTGCATTGCTTTTTGGACGTGTGGAACCATCCACTGTAACCCTACATAGAGTAGCAGAAAAAAAAAGCTTACCTGTCCAACAATGCCAACAAGGTAAGTCGATCATACCAGACTTTAATCCATTTGCCAGGAAATATAACAAATCTGTAAAACTGCCTGTTCAGTTTTCGTTGTGCTGAAGAACATGAAGAATCCTCAGGGTCCTGGTTGGCTTGCTACAAAACCAAACCAGAAATACACAAAGATATCTCACACTGACATACAGCTGCCAGAAAAACAGGCCAAGTTTACATGAAGAATCAGATTTTTTTTTTTCTAGCATATTTACTTTCTTCATTTTAAATTAGAAACAAAAATATCACACCAGCTTAATCACTGCAGATGGACAGAAAATATACCAGTTATGGAGCTCAAGAGTGACAACATGCTTTAAAAATGAATGCTAAATATTTATTTTAAAATAACTATTGTTTAGTCCCAATCCAGTGCTTGTCTAAAGTTTCTAAGTGAAGATTTTTCATGTACCAGGCTAATTACAGCACAACACAAAAATACACATGACAGGACAGATCCGTGTTTTTTAGGGCCTAGAGATGTGAGTTATCAGCTCTCCTTCCAGAACACAGTTTTGTTTATCTTTCCTGAGATGCTTCAAATACCACATCAGGTGTGCCTCCTCAAGAACAGCAAGAGGAGGAAAAAAATTGCAAACAAGCACAAACTGCATAAACATCACTAGTTTAAGAGCCTCTAATCTTACTATCACAATCATATATCCATCCCTTTGAATATTGCTTCTGTCAGATTCTAAGGCCTTTTCCTGTCTGTTTGAACTACGGTATTTCAGATCTCCCCCAACTCTACACCTGCACTTCTTCACCAACACTTGTGGGGAGGGAGGCTTATCTACAGACCATCAGCCAAGCCTGCAAAGCTAGACAACAGAACAAAAAAGCCTCTGCAAAGCAGTGATTTCTTTCCAAGGTACACCACCATTAGCTGATTTTATGGAGGGGGGAAATCACTTATTCTTCCTTCAAGAAGAAGGATTTGAGATTTCAAATCATTGTGAAGTCTAGAGATTTTCAACCTCCTCCTAGGCGGCCTCCTCTTCCCCACCCCACCTCCCCTGCCTTATTAAAGGTAACGAATCAACAAATATACCTATAATAGAACTCTAGGCGATGTCTATATTGGAATTATTTATGTTACATTAGTCAGGGAAGAGGATTTCTGTGTGAAGTAATTGATTGTCATCTTGAATTGCAGCTGTTAGCAAAACACAGTTTTTTAAACAACTTCTCCACCTGCACAATGGAATTGGTAGTTTTTTTCTCAGATCATCGGAATAATTTCTATTCTTCACTTTTCAGGAAAAGGAATTTTATACATAGTTTAGACATGACTTAATGCATCGCTGTGCATGGCAAACGTGAGGTGAAACAGGCTAAAATAAGCTTTGGAGAAAGAGATTCGAGTTTAGGCATTTTATCTCATGCCTCCGATTGACCAAAAGTGTACAACCACGCAGGGGAGCTCAACTGCTGCTAGTGCAGGACAATAACTCATGTTTCTGAGAAATGAAACATGCAAGGGGATGCTAGACTATTTGCCTTTCTTTCATTTATTAACAATTCCAAGTTATTTAAAAGGTGTGAGACCAACTGGAATCCTTTCACTATGCTGATTTTAAAATCTAAAAGAAGTTTAAATTTTAATGTTTTTATTACCACTTTAAAAAGAAACGGGGTTTGGGCATTTTTAAAGAAAAAACACGTTTTAAAATATTACAGTTGCTAATACTGGCATAGTTTTGTTATCCTTGGGTCCTCTTACCCAAGAAAGTGAAACTCAGTCAACCACAATCATTAACTTCACTCCTCTAATGTAGATTGCTCACCATAACTAAATAAAAAAATCAAAATGGTGGCAAAGACTTCATTAAAAACACCCGTAGATCTGATTGTTCAGTCTTCAGAACGGTTTAACACATATTTAGCTGAGTGCGTAACAGAACATTTTGGCTCCTGAGAAACTGTAACCTTTGGATGAAGTTCACGAGGTGAGGCTTGCTGTGCTTGGGCTGGAGTCAGACTTTTGAGCTGCGTTTGGGAAACTCTCAGACTAGCCCTGAGCAAGTCACTGAAGTCTAACTGTGCCTCCTATCAACAAACGGCTTATGAAAATTCACTTCATAAATTTATGTGGTGTCAGAGACAGCCTGAAACCCTAGCTTCACTGAAATCAATGACAACACTTTTCCTGACTTATGTAGGCTCAGAATTTCATGTTTAATTAAAAAAAAAAAAAAATCCAGAAACCAGGAAGTTCTGAAGTTACTGCCTGGCCTTGCTGCAAACTTGCCATGTGACCTCGAGCAATACGCTTTACTTCTTAATGGAGCAGTTTTCCCAAAAGAGAAAGGGAAAGAAAAAAAGAAGAAAAAGAAAAGCATGACAATTGTTCTCTAATTTACAGGCAGTTTACAAGATTATAAATATGATCTGAGCCTTTAGATAGAAGACACTGTCCAAATCCGAAAGACACAATTCGGGACAATTTTCTGATTTCAAATTTAAAATATCTACTTGATTCAAGTTGCTTCAGCTTTACATTCCTGTGCAAAATCTAAGATGAAAGGTAATTAACTGTCATTTTAATGTTATTCATAAATATCAAACTAGAATTTGCTGTGGATGAGAGAGGGGTAAAGGAATTCCTTTTATTATAGAAGGAATTGTAAAAACAGACTACGGCCCTAAGCCACAAGTCACAGACCCCAAACACTGTAAAGTTCATGTCCACATAACACCATGCAAAATGAAATCAGAGAGCCTTTTTCTTTTGCTGCATTGAGGAGGTGGCTTTGACATTCCACAACAGAAATTCAGAAGTCTGATTGCCCAACTCAGAAAACTGAAACCAGACATGAGGCTTTATGATAGCAATGAATCTGGAATAAACACTTCATACTATTAAAATCTGGTGGTGTGCCTAAAATCCTAAGAGCCTGTGTCCTCTTCTAAATGCAATAAGACTGAAGATAGATCAACTTTTTTGGTGATAGAGTCCTTAAGTACCCTCCTAGGATACTACTCACTATCAGTAGAAAACAGATCTTCTCCCACACGCACAATACCAGGAAAAGCAATACAGAAAAATCAACAGAATTGTCTCAAGAACAAGCCAGCAGCATTTGTTTATAGAGCAGTTCATCAAGATGCTAGAAACTCAGATATTACAATGTACCCGTGGGCTTTCTGAAAGGGTCCTTCGTGCCACCATCAGTAGGAGCTGTTGCTGAAGTGCACTCGCTGCTTGATCCCCAGAAGATGGCTCTTGGCTCTCTGAAGTGGTAGTACTAGAGGAGCTGAACTGTATTTCACTGTGCACAGAGGAGAGAAAGGAAAGCAACTGTTTTAAGCAGCAATATTTTCCTAGTATTTCTGAAACATTACAGGAGAAAGCCTGTAATTACACTACTGGTTGGCTCACAGGGTATGGGAACCTTCCACCTCCATATCTGAAATCTGGCACAGGCCCACAAAGCAATTAATTTAGATACATTTGGTTTTGCTATATCCATCACAGAACAAGAGATATTTTTGTGTCACAATTTTTCTCATCCTGTGAGTGAATCTCACTTCAGAAGTGCCTTTTTCTGTCCACTGACAATAATTCAGGTTTAGAGCTGCATATCTACAGAGTAAAACTGCAGGGTTGCTACTGCAGAGATCCTGGAATAGCTTTCCAACAAGGTCACTTAGGTACCAGGGTAGTTTCACCTGCACTGAATTCAATGAGTACTAATTTACCCTACTGAGAATACAGGTTACAAGAACTTCCTTCTGGCCTAGCAAGAAGACAACAATACATGAACCAAGTCAAGCTCAGGTATTCTCCATACTGAGCATGAACTCACTCTTTTTATTGCTTTTCTTCATTGTGTTTACTGCCTTATGTTGTAGGTACAGCACTTAAACACTTTATTTGAGGAAATCTGCACCTAGAGCAGCAGTGCCTGTTGGGTTGCAGAAATGGTGTGCTACCATAACATGACTGACTGGGTTTCAACAAGAACTGTATTGAAATGAAATAATTGTTACTTTGGGAAAAGATCTATTTTGAATATGTCTTTTTAATACCCTTCCAAATGGGGTTTATACATCAGGTGCTCTGCTCCAAGTTCATTACTCCCCTACCTCTGGATATCTGCCTTTAGCTCCCTAGTCCTTTTTTATCTACATGACGTGAAACACCTCAGTGCTCACGCAAGGTAGAGAATACCTGTTGTTCCTATTTTCCATAAAGACAAGCTGGAAAAAAATAGAGCAATCTGCCTACAGTAAGCCTGGAAGCCTGTGGCACTGCAAAGATTAAAAATCTCATCTTGCATACCCTATGCCTGCCCCAAAGGCACCTTATTAATTTTAGTTAAATCATCCTTCTTTGCCTTTAGTTGCCAATTCCCAAAGCCTGTCACATAACCCTTGCTGAGGCTTTAAAATGGTGTCTGTCCTGCACATAACTGGCCGTTAACTTAAGCTGCAGTGGTTTGGCACTGTTCTGGGATAAGGTTTGATGTCTGGACTACTCAGAAGCAGGGCTGAAGTGTCACACCAATAGCTTGAAATGCACACACTCTCTCCTTTTTCCCTTCAGGATTTGCTAGCTCTGCCTACACCAACAGGAACACACACCATTAGCCTCAAGATGTCACCAGAGGAGCAATCTTGCCTTTGATTTCTGAGCCAGGTAGTTTATGTTTTCAAAATCTTGATTACTATCAGGCTTGGATTCCAGACCTGATATTCACCATCTGCCACTCCAGCAAAGCTATCAGCTGAGTAGAAATGAGATCACCTGATCCTAATGGCTTCCTCTGCCCTCCCCACTCCTCCTGCTACAGATAGCAACATGATCTGCTCCACAGAGTCAGGATATCTGTCATGTTCCCTTTGGACAGTACTAGGAAACGAGGACACGGTCCAACACAACCCACTGGATGCCCTAGCCACAAAGAATCCCTCTGAAGGAACCATCTCCTTTGTCAGCAGTCATTAACAAAACAGTACAGAAGGGCTGGGCACTAATCCAAGATCCTGGATGACAACCAGAAGACGTAGGCAGGAAGAAAGTGGAGGAAGTCTAGAGGCATGCCTCCCAGGAGTAAGATTCCCACAGACATGGACTACAAAATATGCCCTTTACGTATTTTGAAATGTCCTGCTCAAGGGCAACCTTGAGGTTCGAAGGAAGGCAATGGATTTGTTTGTTTGTTTCCCTACGATAAGCTACCCTGTTCCCTGTCATTGTGGGTGCAACCCTGGGATTCCCTGTTCACAGCGGGAAAAAGGCAAGTGTAGCCCACTTCACACAGGAATGCTAACTTGGAAATTCCCACTCAAAAGGCGACCCAACAAAACAGCAGAGGAATAAAACAGTCACTGCTCGTGCCTTCCTAAATGAAGAGTTAATGTTCTCTAAATTTCTGCATTTTTATCTGTATTTCTACAAAAGCCAAAAATATTTATAGATTGGCCCACATCTTTTATCCCACATTCACCAAAAATAGAAATAGCAAAAAGACAGAGTAGAGTACCAGGGGATCCTTATCAGTCCTCAGATATCAAAAATCTTTTACTCACAAGACTTCTTCTCAGAATAAACTTAAAAGATCAAACCATCTCCCACCAGACTTGAAGATAATCAGAAAGGCAAGAGTGCCTATAGTCTGTTTTCTGTTTACAGAAAAAAATTCATAGCTCCACCTATCAGCAACTGGCAGAAGAGTGCATAAGCAGCTAGGACACTGACTGTGGGAAAGAGCTGGAAACTTCATAAGCCTGAAAAGACAACTAGGGCAGAGAAGCTGGGAAGGTAGAACTAGTAAAGCAACAATTACAGAATCAGAATCTGTCATCTAGCCTTCATCAGCCTCATCTCTCTGTATCTTCTTACTCTCCCCTCATCTTCCATTTCCTTCAGCTCCTGTTTGCTGGTTTTTTCCTCCTTATCCCTATTTTCCACACAACCTCCTCCCTCACATTCACTTGCTATCTCCCGATGCCAAATCCCTTGCACAGCTACTTAGAAACTGTACCTCCCATTTGATGACATTGCTATCACAGTGACAGCAAATACGAGTAAGAAATGCAAGGCGGTGTTTGTGTTTTTGTAAGCCTATAAACTAGATTCTATAAATTTATTACCATATATAAATAGGAGCAAACACTCTCTAATCATAAAATCATTATAACGGAGTGGATCGCAGTATAACGTGGAATCTTGCTAAATAGAAAATCTGTTCATTTGCAGAATCAAATTAATGTTATCAAGACCTATGACAGTAAACTGCACTGCTAATGTAAGCAAAGGTATAATTGAGCTAAATTTTGAATAATAAATTATTAACTAAAAATATCTTTGATAAACATACAACCTATGCAGACCAAATTCAAAAGCTACATAGCACCCTCTAGCGATAACAGGATATAAAATCAGGAATTTTTTTCTGGCTCATAATTCCATTTTGTAAGAACACTGAGTAAACACAAGCCAGCGGAGCAATCATTTCACACAGAGAATGGTTTAGTATAACTACATAACACTGGAAAAAAAAAATCTTCCTTCTCCCTCTCTGATTAGAATCACAGAATATGCTGAGTTGGAAGGGATCCATCAGGATCATCGAGTCCAACTCCTGGCCCTGTGTAGGACACCCAAGAATCAGTCTGCGATATCTGCCTCATACGACTGAAAATTTGGCCTGAGCCATTCAAACATAACCCAGCATAACTCATCCCCTTTGTCAGGATTAGCTAGCCTTGAGTATGAATACCTCTCAAGGTAAGCTCATTATACAGGCACACCTCAAAGAATTCCCTGTTAATAAAGCTGTTTTGCAGGTCTTGGCTAAATTTCCTTTTAACCTGCATATAGGAGAAAGGACAGGGAACCACGTCACCAATGTCACAACAGTCACAGTAACAATGCACCTTCCTCTTGCTCCTCATGTACTTAAAACTAGAAAGATCCCACTAGGCTGCTTAATACAAGCTGTCTGGGTCACTACAAATTTTTACCAGTGTGTAATAAATATCCACAGCAATGAAAAATAATGTAGCTGAAAGCTATGTTTGTAATACTCCCTAAAACACTGCCTTTAAGTGGTGGTAAGCAGCTATGGCTTGTGATGTCTGAAGAAGAGCCAGAGGGCAGCTCAGAGTTGGGAATCTCTGCTCCTGCACATTCAAGAAGCAATCACTTCTGTGCTATTGATCTGAGATGCATCCAAAGTACTTGCCGAACTGAGACCTGAGCGATCTGGCTGTACAGGAACCAGCTAGTACTGACAACGCAGCAGGAACTCCCAACACCCACACTGTTGTGCCTTTTCAAAACACTCGGTTTGCAGCTCAAACGTAGCTGTCTGGACTGACATCGAGAGTATTGGATCAACGGCAGCCCACAGCTCACCGGTGGCATCTCTGTTACTCAGTGTCACTCCTGGTGTCTTCCTACCACCACCTCAGCAGTTTTGCCTCCTTTTCACCTAAAAAGCCTCCCTGCCATCTCACATCCCAATCTCTTTCAAACCTCATCACGCAGGCTTATCACTACATCTCTACTTATTGCCTGTTAGGTCTCTACTAGAAAGCTGCCAGCACCAATCTGAGCACAGTATTGCACAATTCAGGACTGAGACTAAAGCCACTAGTGGTGGATGTTGCTTCTTTTAAGCAGCACATGACTTACAGTTCCCAAATGTACCACTGAATAAGAAGACTTAAACTCAAAAGCAATTTAAAGCATACAAGAAGATTGAAATATGCCAGCGATAGCCACATTAACACTGGATAATTATGTGACAAGCCCAATCATAGCAAAGATACAAAAAACATGAAGCAGGAGGCACTGTTCACTTTCTTGATAAGATATGAATAGTTTCATGAAGAATACAATTAATTCAGAATGTATATGTTAACTTTCCTCAGTGGTTATATCTGAGGAAAGCTCAAGCTAAGGATGAAACCTCTCTTAAATCTTGTTCATACTTTGCTACTTCTACAAACATGTACCCCTACCAATAATAAAACAGAATATCCAAGTTTACAGAATGGGAAAGCTGGATGTAGTGATGTGCTTACATAATAGAAAACATATCGAGATCACTGTTAAAGTTTTGCAATAGACTACAAAATGAGCAGTGGTACATATTAAGTCAGCTACTGCAGATGGACAGAAAAGCCTTACAAAAGAATGTTCCCAGTGGCAGGAAATTATGAATGTCTTCTTATTCAAGTGTTAAAAATGGGGTCCTCTCAGTACATTCTTACTTCCCAATATTCAGATATTTTTATTTTGCTAATAAGCATGTAAATT